TGAACCACATGTTGTTAGCACCATTCCTTTTTTCCTATATCCTGCCTGTCTCAGTTTATCTAACAATTTAAAAAATATTTTATTTATTATTATTTTTATGCACATGAGTGTATTGCCTGCATGTATGTAAGTATACCCGTATCACTCAAAGCACACAGAGGTCAGAAAAGGGCATCAAATCCACTGGAACTGGAGTTATGGACGGTTGTAAGCTGCCATGTGGATGCAGGGAACCAAACACAGGTCCTCTGCAAGAACAGACAGTGCTCTTAACCAATGAATCACTTCCTCAGCCTCTTATCTGACACTTTGTAATGTAAATAATTTTTTTCATACCTTACCCAGATAGGAAAACCAGGTATTTTCTTTCATCTGCTTTTGTGTCTGACTTAAAAACCTACCTTCCCAAAGAACTCATCCTATTGTAGAGACACTTGTACATCCATCATCCATGTTTATTGCTGCTCTTTTCACAATAGCTAAGAGACGGAAGCAACCCAAGTGCACCTCAACTGACAAGTGGTTAATAAAAATGTGGTATATTTACACAATGGAGTTCTATTCAGCAGTAAAGAAAGATGAACTAATGAATTTGCAGGTAAATGGATGGATCTACAACTGTTATACTAAGTGAAGTAGCACAGACTCAGAAAAACAAACGATGAATATTCTGCCTCATATGTGGATCCAAGCACCAAATCCTTTTAAAGTCCAGGTCTTTTTAATAAGATGATGCTATATAGCAGTCCTTTCTGCATGAAATAACTACCATTATCATGGCTTCAGCTGAGCCTGATCATTAAACATCATCACAATTGGGCTTGTTGACAGTTGTGCTCATTCATTAATGGAGTTGAGATCAAGCAGGACCCTCACTGGATTATCCAGCCACTCTTCCCAGCCAACTGTATGTAATTTGACTCTAATCCACATGGCCTCCTGGATTGGGGGAGGGCATAATATATAGAATCTGGGGAAGGCTAGGTAAAGAAGGCAGGACCCATGCTGGGTAAAGGTTTTGCAGTGTGCGTACCCTCAGGTCATATATACACCTCAGCAACCCCTCAGTTATCTCAAAGCCTTTGAGAGGGAACTAATACTGATTCTAACCACTCCAACAGCTATCCAAATACCTGAAGGCAAATCCTGAATCCATCACTCTAGAGTTCAGCCCTGGAAGAAAAGAAAAATGAGGAGGAACCCAATAGAGGGATGCTTTTGGAAGCCCTTGTCAAGAAATTCCAATAGACTCTCATAGGAACATTTGAAAATTACCCTGTACTTTTTTCTAGGTCCCTCTCTAGAACTTGTAATGCTAATTACTCTTGCCTTTACTTCTCCTTCCACTATTCATGATTCAAGGACTTTCTTTTCCCCTTAGAGATAAGTTAGGCAATTTGGGGGTCTTTTAGATAGACCCACTGAAGGGATACTCCAATTGCCTCACCCTGTGTCCCTGTTCAGCGTGAAAGAAGTTGGAGTGGCCTGCATTCCAATTCCCTATTGGCAATTTGGTTAACCTCTTCAGAGGATGGTGTGATAAGAACAGGATGTAAGAATTGGCTAAGAAGTTAGGGTAAAAAGACCCCGAAGAAAGTAGCCAGTTTCTTGGCTAAAACTCACAGTGTGTTTGGGCCTCTTAGCAACATATTCCATGCCAAAGGCCAAAAATGTCGAAAGTATTTGGGAGCTTGTATCTAATCCTTAAAAGATTTTAGGGTTACTTCTTCAGAGGGGGGAATGTTAGAGTAGCCAAAAGCCCCATAAAAATACTTAAATAAAAGAAGGAAAACCTAAAACAAACAAAACACTAGCTTCCCAGTGGTGTGGAGGTTTCATGAAATGGAAGTGTGGCAAGAGTTCCATAATTAGGCACTTAGGATACAACTTGCTTTTCCCTAGGCACCAGAGGAGCTGTGTCAGAAGAAAGCCTTTTTCCACTACTTATTCCCTGAGAAACCTAGTTTTGTGATTAGAACCTTCCTATTTGTGGGGCTACAGAACATTGGCAACATTTGGGGAAAGCTTCCTGAAGAGGTAGGTATGCGATGGAAAGACCTGCAGAAACTTTGCTGAGGTTGTCCAGACACATGATGTAGGAGGATCATAGCTCAGAGATGGGTCCACGGGCAGTTTGCATTCTTTAACAGACAAAGCCACAATGAATCCAAGGATAAGTTATATATCAAATTTCATTTGGGGTAACGGATCTATGTTTTTTTCTCCTCTCTACTAATTTCCAGGTTAAATTCTAATCTAGGATGCTTCATGTTATATAGTGGAGTCAGGAAAAATTCCTAGAAGTAAAAGGACTCTAAAGCAGTCACTATACCTTCCTAACTGAGGTTGTGGGTATTCCTTTCTCTCAGAAAAGACTGGTGTCTTGTTTGGTGTAATTTTCCTGTTTTCCTTCTCCTGGGTTGTAATTTTCCAGTTTTAAACTGTATTATTGATAGAGCGTGATGCCATTTCCCTGTTGATTCCTGAACTATCCCTGAAAATGGAAAAGAGGCAACTATGTAGATATCACGTTATTATATCATTCTGTGAATGAAAATGGCCTGGAGTTCACTATGCAGACTAAGCTGAACTTGATCTCACAGAACGCCACCTGCCTCTGTCTCCTGAGTACTGAGATTAAAGGTGTGAATCACCATGCCCATCTTATGACAAACTTATTTTAAGAAACATGTATTCATAGAGTCATGCTTAAGTTATTATTTGGTGTGGAAACCTTCAGAAGTACCCCCCTACACCTCTATAAGAATCAGCATCTTTGCATTTTTATGTATCTTTGAGAGAGGGAACTGGATGAAGAAACATTTGGAAGCAATGAGTCTCATTAAGAGTAATTAAGAAAAAAATCAGAGCATGAATTAATTTTTTCCTGTGAACATCTAATCCTAAAGTAGAAATTTTCTTGGATATAAATGTGATTTTCTTCCTCATATTTCTATTGTTTAAGCACAGATTTAATATTTCATGGGATCTCTAAAAAGCAAGCAAAATCTCTGGTTCCTGTATACTGGGCTGACTTTGCCTTGTATAGTGGGGCTTGTTTAGGGGCTTCAAAGCGTTACATCATTTTATTATAAATACTCAATTCCCAAATGACTAGCTGTTTTGGTAGCTATCAGTTGCTTTCTCCTTTTCCAGGTCTCATCCTTAATAACTTCATTACCAAGTAGTTGAGTTCAATAAAACACATAACTCAAAATTCTGTCAAGCAAACAAAAGTTTGTTTGCAAATAGCCCCCAAATTACTATAGAAATTATTCTAAGAACTTCAATAATTCCAGCTATCATGTCAAAGACAAAACTTACAGGACGAAGAGCCAACTCTCTGTTCACATCGGGTGGTGAATCCTGATTACAGGAAAAGACATAGTACAGAATGAGTCCTGCGCCCTGGGACCTGGTTTTGATTTCTAGGCTCTTTGTTCATATTCTTAACAGCTTTCAGGTAAAGGTCTAGGTATATTCTCAAGCAGCTGACAGATCTTGATTAACTAGATTTTTAATAAAAGAATTATGTTCCATATGCCAGTGGTTCTCTGATGCACAAATTTCTGCTCATTCCTCCTTTGCAGGGACACTGGGCAATTTCTGAAGCTGTTGGGTGTCAGGACTGGGCAAGTGCTGAGCTACTGACATTCAGTGTATTCAGACAGAGGGTGCCGCAAAGAGTTTACACTGCATAGGAAGTCACCCTCCTTGCCCAGCAGAGAATTGTGTGGCCTAAAATGTCAATAGCACTTAACTTTTGGAAATCTGCTATATGCTAATGAGTGAGCCCTTATGTACTGTGGGTACAGATGAAGAGATCTGAAACTTTGACCAAAACCTGCCTCTCTGGATATGAACTGCTGATTAAAGTCTTCGGTTCTTGCAAAGCTACCCTGAAAATGCATTGTGTAAAACACTGTATTTGCAAATATTAAGAGTATAGATTAGACTCTAATCTTATAGATTAGAGGAGTACAGGCTGTGGCATTGCACAGTAAATTATACCAAATTTAATATTTGACATTCTCTTTTCACTTAATGATTAACAAAGACAGACAATGATCTAGGGAAACTGGTACCTGCCCTGTAATCTTTAAAACACTCACTTTAATTTGGTCCTGTTCTTACCTATAATAGTTCATTTTGTCAGTATTCATTTTGTGTTCCAAATAATTTTTTCTCAAAAAAGTTTATTTAAATGTTACTATTTTACTAGTAAAATAAACAATTATTTTATTATCTCCAGGGGCTGGAGAGATGGCTCAGCAGTTAATAGCACTGACTGCTCTTGCAGAGGACCTGGGCTCAGTTCTCAACATTCAAGTGGCAGCTAACAACCACCTATGACTCCAGTTCCAGGGGATCAGATGCCCTTTTATGGCCCCTGCAGACACTGCACAACATGGGTATACTTACATGTAGGCAACATACCCATACTCATAAAATAATAAATATTCAATTACTACCTCTGTACATTATTTTATATATAAAATATTTTCATTAAAATCCAGGCGTGGTGGTGCATGCCTTTAATCCCAGCACTTGGGAGGCAAAGGCAGGCAGATCTCTGTGAATTCAAGGCCAGCCTTGTCTACATAGTGAGTTCCAGGACAGCTGGGGTTACAGGGAGATCTTGTCTCAAAAAGACCAAAAAAATATTTTCATTAAACTACAAATGATAGGCCGTTACTAAATAGTAAGAAATTCAACAAAAATTGCCAGATTCTCTTTAAGAAGGTATATACCAATTTATATGTGAAAATAACCAACTGTTTCCTTACAGAATATTGACAACATAAGGTATAATTGCTTAAAGGTATTTCCAAATTTGACAGGATCACTTTGTAATTTGTAAAAACCACAGTGTATATTTATTAATTAATTCAGTTTAATTCTAGCATTGTTCGGCTGGTAAAAAATAGGTTTGTGTTTGTTTTCTTACTGAATTATTATTGCTTTTATTCCCTCATCCAGCCAGGGAAACCATAGAAAATATGGATCACGAAAATCAGACAAAAGTGACTGAGTTTCTTTTCTCGGATTTCCCTCAGATTGAGAACGGTGGTCTCTTATTCTTCATTCCTCTGCTCTTCATTTACATGTTCATTGTGTTTGGAAACTCCATGATCTTCTTTGCTGTCCAGCTGGACATCCGTCTCCACAACCCCATGTACAGTTTCATCAGCATTTTCTCCTTTCTGGAGATTTGGTATACCACGACGACCATTCCCAAAATGCTCTCCAACCTGGTCAGCAAGGAGAAAACCATTTCTTTAGTTGGCTGCCTGCTGCAGATGTATTTTTTCCACTCCCTTGGAGTCACAGAAGGCCTAGTCCTCACAGTGATGGCCATTGACAGGTATGTCGCCATCTGTAACCCTCTCCGCTATGCAGTCATCATGACGCTGCAACTCTGTATCCGGCTGTCCACAGGCTCTTTCACCGTGGGCTTCCTTATGCTGCTGCCAGAGATCGTGTGGATTTCTACTCTTCCCTTCTGTGGCCCCAACCAGATCCACCAACTCTTCTGTGACTTTGAACCTGTGCCTCGCTTGGCCTGTACAGACACTTCCATGATTCTGGTGGATCCATGCCATCTCCATCCTGACCTGCATCTCTGTCATCACTCTCTCCTACTTAAGGATCATCACTGTGATCGTGAGGATTCCCTCTGGTGAGAGCCGTCAGAAGGCATTTTCTACCTGTGCAGCCCACATCACTATTTTCTTGCTGTTTTCTGGCAGTGTGTCTCTCATGTACCTTCGCTTCTCTGTCACCTTCCAACCGCTGCTGGAGAAGGCCATTGCACTGACGTTTGCTGTCCTTGTCCCATTTTTCAACCCTATAATCTACAGCCTGAGGAACAAGGATATGAAAGATGCCATTAAGAAAATTTTAAGTTCACACGCATCATGATATCACATGCCTTTAATACCAAAGACAGGCCGATCTCTGTGAAATTTAGGCCAGCCAGGCGTACAGAGTGAGTTCCAGGCCAGTTGGGGCTACAGGGATACTCTGTCTAAAATCAATCAATCAATCAGTCAATCAATCAATCAATCAATCAATCAATCAATCAATCAATCAATCAGTCAATCAGTGCCTCTGGGAGCAAGCATGCGTTCATCCAAGCCTATTCAAAGACATATCATCTTCTGCATCTGTTTTAAAACTTTACCATCAGTGTCTAAAATTTCTATGTGTATATTTTTCATGTTGTTAGTTGATGTTTTTTCCAAGTTTCTAATTTAATTACCAGTGTTGTTCTGATAATGGAAGCTTACTACATTCTTACATTAGTTAGAGAGTAACAGGGAGTATCTTCTCACTTTGAAACCAAACAGTGTGGTAGCAGCCACTTAGGTAGGGCTGGGGTTTCTTATCCACTTATTCATATCTATGCTGGGATTTTGTCTGGTTTGAGCTTACGTGGGAGTTGTGCATGCTGTCACCATTGCTGTGAATTTATGTGAGTAGCTTACCAGCTACTCTTCTGCAAATTTCCTGAGACTGTTCGGGGGACAGTAGTTTGATATAGGTGTGCTAATTGGAGAAAGCACTCTGTATCCTCTTGTTCTCTGCACATTTGCCAGCTGTGAGTTTCTGTGTTAATCATCATCTACTACATAAGAACATTTTTCTGGTGAGAGTTTGATAGATGCATTAATCTATGGGAATAAGAAAGTCATTAGACTTCTGTTTAATGCTACATCTATTTAGCAGAAAACTAGTATTAGGCTTTCTCACTATGTTCTGTGACCTGAATAGCCTCAGGTTCCTATGTCTGATATTAATGCTAAGTATGGGCTCCATCCTATGAAACAGACCTTTAGTCCAATTAGAACTCCAGTAACATTTGTGCAACTATTGCACTCGTGAACAGTTGTCAAACCAGTTGTTGCTCCAACTAGCAGGGCTCAAAGCTGTGTAAGTTTCATTATTAATTTTCTCTTCAGGTAGCATGCATAAATCTTCTATCACTATTAGTAGAGATGAAGTTTTGAAGTCAGCGCCAGCTTGAATTCTCCTTGTTTATTCAATAGTTCATATATATAGCAGTTTCAGTGATAGGATCTTACCATGAAGTTCCGGGAGAGTAAACAAGAACAAGGATAATGGTCAGTATTATTTGAGGGTCAATAGGACATCTGGGCAGTCAAGAACTCCAAAAGATTGAGTCTGTACTTGGCATTGAGCTTCTATTTTGTTGGCCTATGGTGTTTAGTAGTAGTGGTGGTAATGTCCCCCTATGTAAGAGGTGCAGGGATGACTCAACATATGTAAATCAATAAATGTAATTCACCACATACATATGCTCAAGTGCAGAGACCACATGATCATCTCATTAGACACAGAAAAGGCCCTTGACCAAATCCAACATCAATTTGTGATAAAGCCATGGAGAATCTATGCATGCAGGGGATATATCTCAATAAAATAATCCCACCGCTAACATCATACTAAATGGAGAACATAAAGCATTCCCATTCAAACCAGAAACAAGAAAAAGATGTTCACCTTCTCCATCTCTGTTCAATACAGCACTTGAAGGCTTAATGAGAGCAAGACAAATGAAGGAAATAAAGGAGATACAAATTGGAAAGGACCAAATTAAAGGATCCTTATTTGAAGATGGTATGATTCTATACATAAAATACTGTAAAGACTATGCCAGAAATCTTCTCGAGTAGATAGATACATTTAGCAAAGTAAAAGGATATAAAATTTACACAAAAAATAAGTAACCTGTCCTATATACCAACAACAAGTATATCAAGAAAAAAATCTGGGAAACTATCCCATTCATGATAGCCTCCAAAAAATTCTCGAATAAATCTAACAAAGGAAGTAAAAGGAGATGTATAATAAAAAATTTAAGATATTAAAGAGAAATTGCAGAAGACATCAGAAGATAAAGACCTCCCAGGCTCATGAGTTGGTAGGATTAATACTATGACAATGACCATCCTACCAAAAGAAGTCTATAGATTCAACAGAACTCCCATTAAAATTCAAACACAATGCTTTACAGAAATAGTAAAAGTAATTACAAATTATATGGAAATATAAAGAACCAAGGAGAGTCAAAATAATCCTAAACAATAAAAGAAATGCTGGAGTTATTGCCATTCATGATCTCAAATTATACCACAGAGCTATAGTAATAGCATCAGCATGGTACTGTGTAAATTCAGACACACTCATTAGTGAAATAGAATTGAGGATCCAGATTTAAACCAATGTCCTTACAGCCATCTGATTTTTGACAAAGGAGATACACATACACACTAATGAAAAGATGGCATATTCACAAATGGTTCAGGTCAAACTGGACAGTGGCCTGTAGAAGAACAAAAATAGATTCTTATCTCTCACCATTTAAAAAACCCAATTTCAATGAATCAAGGACCCCCCCAAAAGAACTGATACCCTGAATTAGATAGAAGATGAAGTAGGAAATAATTTGGAACTTATAAGCTGAGGAAAGGACTTTATAAAAAGAATTCCTAAAAATGCAAGCATTAAGTCCAACAACTGACAAATGGGACCTCATGAAAGTAAAAAGCTTCTGCACAGCAAAGGACAATATCATTCGAGTAAAGAGGTAACCCATGGAATGGGAAAAAGTCTTTACCAGCTATACGTCTCACAGAGGGTTAGTATCTAGAATATACAAAGAACTCAAAAACTAAACATCAAAAATAAATAAATAAATAAAACCCAATTAAAAATTGGGGCAAGGAGTTAAACTGAGAATTCTCTGAAGATGAAACACAAAATGCTGAGAAATATGTTCAACATGTTTAGTAATCAGAGAAATGCAAATTAAAACCACACTGGAATTTCATTATCCCAGACAGAATGACTAAGAGCCAAGAAACAAACAATGGCAAACATCAGGGAGGATGTAGAGAAAGGAGAACTCTTTTTCCCTGCTGGCAAGCAGTGCAAATTTCTGCAGCCACTATGGAAATCAGTGTAGTTTCCTCAGAGAGTTCCAAAGTGATCCACCGTATGACCCAGCCAAACTAGTCTTGGGTATATACTCAAAATACTCTCAACCCCACTTCAGAAATACCTATTCATCCATGTTCATTTCACCCTTTCATAGTAACTAGGAATTAGAAACAACTTAGATGTCCATCAGTGGGTGAATGGTTGGTGGTGAGGTACATAAACACAATAGAATATTATTCTACTCTTTAAAAAATTATTAATTTCGCAAGTAAATGGATGGACCTGGAAACGTCCATCCGAAGTGATGAAATCCAGATCCAGAAACAAAAACATCGGTTATTGTCTCATAGTTGGATTCTGGCTTTGAAATTCTCTTTATGCTTGTTTTAATTTGAAAATCCAGAGAAGTAGGAAATTATTAAACAGATATGGTGGTGGCGGGGGAGGGCGATAGTAGGGCTGGTAGAATGCAGTGATATAAAGGGAGGAAGGGGAATAATGGAGAAAGAAGAGCTAACTAGGGTGAAGAATGGGAGGGCTGGGTGGAGGAGGGAAAATGGGTAGGAATAACCAGCACTCAAGGTTTTAGAAAATGCCAAATGGAAACCTACCACTATAGAAGCTTCTCAAAGTATATGCATATACATCATAAAGAGAGATGAAAAGCTACCCTAAAAGTTACCCTATTTTTAACTTTTGAAAACTCTATGGATTCTAAATTATTAATCATAAAATATTTTCATTTTAGCAAATATGATAATTTAAATGTAATGAAGGTGATGCAGACACTTGGGCAGTGCCAGTATGACGCTCAAATGGGATAATCCTTTCTGGAGCTACTTAGTAATTAGATTCAAAAGAATGAATATATATTGAGCTCCAGTTAATAGTAGGGGACAAAAAAGAGTTCTTTGATGAAGTAGGTCGAAATTTGAAGACTAAGGAAGAATTAGTTAGGAGAATAAGATAGGAGGAATTAATTTTGCAAATTCCCTTAGATTGTAAACAGCTGAGTTCAACATATGATCCAGGTGTAGACATGTGCAGATGAGGCACAGGAGAAGTCGTAAGATGAAAGAGGGTAGAATATCAGGGGCTTAATATGTCAGGCTATGAGATATTGAGTTTAGTCCAACATACATGTTATATACTCCTATTCCTTGGGTGACATGAGCACATGTCTATTAACCCCAGATAAGGAATGAAAGGCAAACCACAGTAAGGAAGGCACAACTTGCTGAACCAATTGGTTTTACTAGGGTTCCTTATAGTAGGAGTATAGGTGAAGAGTTACATACAGGAGCAGACATGACTCTCAGCAGCAACACCAAAGCCCACTCCAGTGATGGTGACATCTGTGACAACTCACAGAAGCAGGAAACCTGGAGGACATTGCACAACATGCAGGCAATTCAGCAGGTTGGAGCCTGTCCTTTCCAGATAGTTTCGTTGGTCTGAGCCTTTTCTAGGCAGTTCAGCTCGCGTCTGCTTCTTCTAGGTGACTTGGCTGGTCTGAGAGTAGATCTCAACAGTTCTTAAGGCTTATACACACTTGGGGAGAGAGGGATCTAGTGAACTTAGTAAATTTCAGGGACATCCCAAAAGCTATTGAGTTTTTCACTTCCTGAGCTTAAGGAGCTTCCCTGTAGGATGGACTGTTTCCCCTCCCCTCAAAACAAACTATTATTTACTTTTCTAAATTTAGAACATCCTGTTTTTTACCTCCCTCTACCATTCTGCTGTTCAGTTTCTAAATACAGAACATCTTGTTTACTAAATTTGTGACATACTATCGTTTAATTGCTGAATTTAGAACATTTTGTAATTTATATCTTGTTGTTTAGTCAGATTCCCTCCAAGATGGAAAGTTTTATGTTGGAGGAAACTGCTGAATAAAATATTACAGCGATGAATACATTTAAGCAAGAAATTGTACTCTCAGAATAGCATCAGTGTTTTCATGGAAGACAAAGCAGAAAGAATCGAAGCACTGGAAGTGGGAAGTATTTGAAATGCTGTCTTTTGGACATAACATGGCTATGTCACACATGAACTCACAGTAACTGTGGTTACCTACACGAGATCAAGCCAGCCAAATTTCTGTCATAGACGGGGTGGCATTCTCCGGGTCTTTACTGAGCAGCTATTGTCAGTTGAAAGCTGTTTGGGAGGCGAGAGAGAATTTTTCTTTGAGGATGTGGCGCACAAACTTTTCTGTCACCTTTCACTGACCAAAGCAAGTGATCATAGGACTTGGGGTAAAGAAATTTCATACTTCGGTGGGAAAAGATGTCAGTTAACCTTGCAAGGATCCTGGATACTGGAAGGAAGTTATATGTTTGCTGTTTCCTAAAGTATATAGATTTCCAGCATTATCACACTGTGCTAAAATCTACATTGAAATCTCCCAAAGTACCTATGCAGGTATGGGTTAAAATAGGAGGCAGTGGGCTATATTTGGAATATATAGTAAAGCAAAATATTGAGCAAAGCAAATCATTCTTTACAGTATTGCTTTTTACAGAGTCAGCAATTTTGTTTCAATAAAATTAAGTCTTAATTAAAAACTAAAAAAAGATAAACAAATAATTCTTCAAAGCATAAAAATTTGCTCCTTAATAATTAGTAGATGTGAAAAACATTACTATAGAAATATACCTGATGACTTTATATCAATGCTCAGATGCCAAGGAGCTCAGAAAGTAACCATATCTCAGTGTTAGTAGCAAAAACAATGAGTCTTTCTTCAAGGAACAGTATATTCTCAAATGAAATGGAGATCTTTTTTAAAGGTTAAAGCATCATTTAATTTTATCTTATAGGGTTTATACTGAGTACAATATTATATAACTGTAATACAACTGTAAACCTAAAAATTTACAGCTTGTTTTGAAAGAGATGTATCTTAGCTCTGGAAACTGTTATTGAATATGTCAATGCTGTGGTAATGAAATGCTTCTTCTAAGTGTGTGGTTATTAAACAAATAATTTAAAAAATTAAGTCTTATTATTTGGAAACTCAAAAGGCTTTGGAACATTTAACTCCTTTTCCAGAAAAAATAGTAAAAATAAAATCAGTCTCCAATTCTACTAAAAGCAGTTCTTGTTACGAACGTGCCTTTCTGTAACATTATGATTCTGAGATAATATATCAGTGGAAAGCTGTATTTTACTGAGAGACATTTTGGAGTTCCTGGCATTACAGAAAACGTGATAAAGTATCAGAGGAAGTTTCCATTAATGAAGCCTTGGGGAAATGGAGACCATTTTCCCTAGACACTAGAAGGAGCTACCCCAGTAGAGAAATCTCCCCCAAGAAGGCTTTAGAAATAGGTTTAACAGTCCTTCTTAATAAGCTGGAGACACTGAAACTGCCTAAGACCAGGAAAGGGAAGGAACCTCATTGTCTCTGCCAGAGGTAACAGAAAAGCTCTCACATATGAGAGGTAGGTGTGTCGTTGTTACAAAGCTAAAGTGCCAGGCAGCTAAAGGGAGAAAGCCACTTAGCTAGTGCCCCTTCATTAACTAAATAATATATGAAGAAATATTTGAGATTGCATGAATGGCTAAATGGAACTCATCTAGGGCAGAGAAAAAATATTTGTAGGTTAGAAATCAGTGATAACATTGCACAATTTCTGTGGCATGTCGGAATAATTAATATTTTTCCTTGTAATGCTATTTTCCCTCTGCTGCAACATTCTTCAGTGTTTTATAAATTAAATCAATCTGGGAGGAAACCATATTGCGTACTGGTATCAATTCACAGTTAAATAAATATAAACCAGTGAGGTTGTCAGCATAATAGAGATCAAATGCATTAAAGGAATCTTCTATTGAAAATCATATTATAAGGTACTGACCCAAACAGAAGACAGTTTTTAACCCCTAGATCATGTTTTATGCATGTCTTCCTTCTTCATACAATTGGGGTAGTTTGTTTCTTTCCTTGCAATCTCCAACATGTAAACTTTTAGTTGGTGTATTACTCTTTGTAGAAAAAGATGTTGATTTAGCCAAAACACAGGTACTCCAATTCTATTAGAAGGTTGGTACCTACTACTTTGGGGAAATAAACAGAAATTCCAGAAGTCCAGTAAATCAGCAACTCTGGCTGCTTTAGGGGTTTCAAAATGCCTTATACCTCAGAAATTTCCAGTAGTCATCTCTATACTGATTCCCAAATGGAGGTGTTTGAAACCCAGTATGACCTTTCCCTTGCTTTTATATTGTGTTGAAAGGCTCAGCAGAGTTGAGAGAGATGATTGAGCTGCTGGGGATCAGAGCATCCAGTTAAAGCAGCAGGGAGCCAAAAAGAGGGTTAAAGGTGATGACTTTAATCACTTACTGCTATAGGCCCAAGAAGAGACTGAAACAAGAAACAGTGCCCTCTCCCTTTTGTCTACTTTTTCCTTCTACTGACTAGCACACTGGGTCATAGCCAGATGGATCAGTGCACATGGAGGGTCTTCACTCTTGCCCTAAACATGGCAGCAGCTCTATGGAGCCTACTCAATGAGGAAGAATGGGCAAGTGATAGTTTGACCTGGAACAGAAGGAAAATGACTATTCAGAGACAACAGCGTAGTGGCCACATACCGTCACCTGTGGATAAGGAAACCCTCCCCATGAACCTTCCAGGGAAAGCCTTTGTAACTACCTGAGGTCAGGCGTGGAAAAATCACACACAGGCTAATCAAGAACTGGACTCCTATGTTTGTCTAGATACTACTTTTTAATTTTAATGTTATATATATGTCTCATAATAATCAAGGCTGTTTTACATTACAAAATTATCCCATATTGTCAGCTAGACCTTTTATCTAAAGGATTGCATTTAAGAGGAACAGAAGCATTTTTACATATAGCCTAGCCTGGAGGGCATACCCTATTTAAGAAGCAGTCAATGCAAAAAGATGGAAAAAGAAAAAAAATAGTTAATGCAAACTTTTGAATTTTTAAGAATTTCAAAATGGTATACAGAAGCTCCCTCTTATTGCTGTTTAGGGACCTCTTAAACCCTCAACTATTTAGACTCTGGAAAGAGTTTGAAGAGGCCAGAAGGTTTAGGAAAGATCCCATATGGAGTCAAGATATCAATAACTGTATAAAAATTTATGTAACTGAAAGAAGTAAGACAATATGGCCAAAAAATAAATATAGCACAAATAAGAAGCACAAAGCCAGGAAACTGGTGTGCTGAGACTTCTTGCCTGTGAAATATCACCTTGGTCCTCTCACACTGACTGCACAACTCTGCCCTACTGTTGTTGGTTAAAATCCTCTATTGCCTCTGGGTTGAGGTGATATGGATTGTTTGTCTACTCTGTGTCCCATTATTGGGCTCAGTGGCATGAAACTTAAGCAGAAATTTGGACCTCTTCAAGGTACATCGTGTTTAGGAACAGGGAACTGAACACAAATGTGTCCAGGTAACACCCGAGTAGTATGGCCTGAGAAAGTGTCAACTGTGGCCAGAGTCTGCAAACACTCTAAATGGAGCACTTCAAGTTCCTTGTGAGAACATCCTGGCCCATTGGCTGAGGAATCTTGCCGTTAGCAATGTGTTTAGACTTAGCCAGGGCCAGGGCAACTCTTCCTGCTCTTTTGGCCACCTCTGATGTTGGCAGTCCATATGTGTAGTGTAGATCTGTATGTGGTTAGTGGCACATCAGTCACACATCAGTTTCTATAGCTCCTGGGAGTCTAGCCTCTGTGTTTAAATGACAAGTGCAGTCTGCTTTTCAGCCTTGTTTGCTTTGTCAGAACAGAGGCCTCTCTGCTCAGCATGTATATGAATAGCAGAAAACTTCTTAGCAGCAGAATGGATTTACATAAATGACTTATCCTCACAGGGGACTTGTATTCATCAGTCCTGGGCTTGCTATGAATCAACCAGGTTTACAGCTTTTCCATATGCTCCACTAAGATGGCCTGGACTTCAGTAATTTCCAGGGACTGAGCTGAGGCAGAAATGTATCCACAGATGCTACATTGATACCAGTTACAAATTTCATAACAGGAAATTTGTAGAGGTCTACGGGCACAACGGGACCCACCATAGTCATGTACGTTCTTCCCAAGGCTTAGTATTATCAGGAGTTTTGTTTTGAGAAATTTATTCAGATCATTTTTATAAGTATGCGATGCTAATATTTTAATTAATGAATAATGATGCTTTGTTGATAGATTTTTATAGAACAATTGGGAACATGTATACCTTCCTTGGTAAAATGTCTGTTCAAATTCTTAGCTAATCTCTATAAAAGGTTGTATGGTAGTATTTTCTCTTGTACAGTTTTGTGTTCTTATAGTTTATAGTTTATCTATACATGTATATACATATATGTATAATCTTTTGCAAAATATGTGTTTTTGTGTATGTGTGTGTGTTTGGGTTTTTTTTTTTTTTTTTTGAGACAGGGTCTCCCTGTAGCCCCAGCTGATCTGAACTCACTTTGCAGACCAGGCTGGCCTTGAACTCATAGAGATCCGTTTGCCTCTGCCTCCACAGTGCTGGGATTAAAGGTGTGCACCACCATGCACAGCTCAAGATACGTGTTTTGTAAGCATCGCCTTTCATGTGACTTTTTATTTTTTTAATATTTCACTTTGTAGAACAAGACCTATTAAATTTGATGAAGTTCAATTTATCAGTCATTTTTCTTTTATGGACTAAGCCTTTGTTGTTGTAGTTAAATGTATTTAACTCGACATTATAAAGCAGCTACAAAGAGCTTCTCATCTGTTCATCTTGGAGGTGTTTATAGTATTTTTTACTTTACATTTAATCTAAGATCTACTTTTTGTGAACTCTTATATGCAATACAAGATTTTTATGTCTTGTTGGCTGCCCACTCACTAAAAGCCTTTCTTTTCTCTATTGAATTGCCTTGCTGTGTACGTGTGGCACTATCTCTAAATTGCTATTTGGTCCAATTGGTCTGTATGACTAACCTTTTGACAACAAAATATTGCTTTGATTTCTTTTGCTTTTATTTTGAATATTGAAATAAGTTAGTGTAAATCTTTCAATTACGTTCACTTTTTTCAAAATGATTTACCTCTGTTTTCAGTATGCCATTTCATGTGTGTTTTAGGATTCTTTTTTAAAATGTTTTTATTGAATTTTTGTGTATTCCATACAGAACATCTCAATCAATCTTAATCATCTTTATACCCCTTCCCACTGCCACCCTCCCATAGACCCCGTCTTCCTGGAATTCAACAGGCCTTAAACACAAATGACAGAATGTTTTAGGGTTCTTATGCATAACTACAACAAACAGGCAAACAAAAAAATCAGAAAGCATACAGGAATTTATGTTGTACTGAGTGACCTGCTTTCACTTTCAGTTGAGGAGTTACTCTCTCTGTGAATACAGTATCTATTTTTTAGATAGGGTCTTCCTGGAGACCAGGCTGACCATGAACTCAGAGATACTCTTTCCTCTACCTCCCAAGTTCTGGGATAAAAGGCATGCACTACCACACCAGGGGAATACAGTATCTTTTTACTTATTTAGTTCTCCTTGGAATGTTCCATCAGTGTTTTGTAGCTTATAGCATGAAGCTTTTGCATATGTAGTTAGACTTGCAGCTATTTCACATTGTATGCTCTTGTGAATCATGCTGTTCTCTTTTGTTCTTTTTAAAATATTATTTATTTATTATTTATTTATTTTATTTAATGACCACATGATTGAGACAGGGTCTCCCTGTAACTCTAGCTGGCCTGGAACTTGCTATGTAGACCAGTCTGCCTGATCTTGAACTCACAGAGATCCTCCTGCTCTGCTTCCCAAGTCCTGGGATTAAAGGCATATGCCCCCGTACCGGGCTATTCATGCTGTTCCAAATATCACATTCCAATGTTTCGTTCTTAGTACATAACAATATAATTGATTTTTATGTGTTGACTGCTAACCTTCTACCCTTATTTTTCTACTTCATTATCTCTTCCTCAACATAAAGCACTCTATATAAAGCAACTAAATTCAGCTTTCAACCACTAAAGTTTTGTCAAAGTTCCTTTTCTTTTAAAAATTCCAGCGATTCCTTATTTCTGATGAATTTTCATTTCTGGACCATACGTACTAGCTCATTTATAAGCTTTTCACAATCTCTTCATCTTCATTTATTGCATCACATTAACATCCTCTACACACACACACACACACACACACACACACACACACACACACACACACTCTACTCCACCCAGAGGCAGTTTCACTCCTTTAATGCATCCGCCTATCATTGGTCTTTGATGCTTAGCACACGCTTTACTTCCTAGAACAGGCCTCTCCTTAACTGCACGCTTTTTGCTTGACTCGCTTTCATGTATCTTTTAGGAAAGAATTTTTTACCCAAGACAATCCTTCTTAAGCCTATAACTAAATGCCATGCACCTAATTCTCTTAGCGATTACACACTGTAACAGAGAACACAGATACAATCATATTCACGGGAGTAGCAACTCCCATTGATTGAATATGGGAGTCCCAGTACTTAGCATAGTACCCAAACTGATATAATGTTCACAGCTTTGAAAATTGAGTATATCTATCATCTTACTTTTAGGGAAATGGATCCAGAGACCTACTGAACTAAGTAAGTCACAGAATTCAGAAGTGTTAGAGCCATGAGTCGGACCTGTACAGTCTTTGAATACCATTTTACTTCCTTACCCAGCATGCACTCAATAAATCACATGTTAATAATTAACTCAGCCCTAAGTGCTTTAAGAGTCTACATTCTACTGAACATTCTCTGGATCTTAGTAAAGACTTCCCAACGGATTTCTCTAGAGGAATCTTACATATCTCTCTGTGTGTTAATTGAATGATCTTCAAGTGTTAGCCATTGTCAGCTGTAACTTTTCTGGATCTCCTTTCCTCCTTTGTCTTTATGACCCTCTTCCCTCCTTCCTCTGTGTTTTCCCAGGCCTCGTTTCTCTGACATGCATTATTCTTTATCTGTGTATTTTCCCTGGAGCCCCTTTTCTATCTTGCTTTCTCAACTACCACTTACATGTAGCAAATTCCTAAATATATGTCACCAATGCAGCATCTTTCTGAAACCATGGCATCTCTGCTTATTGTTATCAGCATGCTGAATATGCTCTTTCTCTGATACTTTGGAATCAGTTACTCTAAACATATCTCTTTACTTTATTCTAACTAACCTCTCTCACATAATTTTCATTTATTGAATATTATTTTGGTAATAACACTCTCATGCTTGTGATATTTTATTTGGTGTTATTTTTTTTATTTTAAAAATTTAACGAGAATTTCATACATGCATATAACATGTTTTGATCAAATCCATGCCCACTCCCTCTCCTCCAACTCCTCCCATATCGCCCCATCACTTTTTCCTGATAACTTTGTGTACTCGTTCCTTTTCTGAAATGGAGCTTTTTGCTATTCTAACATTCCTCCCTCTGAAGAGGTAAACTTAAAATCTTTTAGGGATTAGATAAGAGCGTCCAAATACTTTTGACATTTTTGGCCTTTGGAACATAGTATGTTCCTAAGCAGCCCAAGGACATTTTGACTTTTAGCCAAGAAACTGGCTGCTTTTCTTTGGGGTCTTTTTACCCTAACTGCCTAGCCAATTTCTACCTTCTATTCTTATCACACCATCCTCTGAAGGAGTTACCTAAATTGCCAATGGTGAATAGGGATGCCGACTGCTCTGGCTTCTTCCATGCTGAACAGGGACAAGGGTGAGGCAATCAGAGTACCCCTTCAGTGGGTCTATCTAGAAGGCTACCAAATTGCATAACTCTTATATGTAGGGAGAAAATACAATCCTTGACTGGTGCCTAGGAAATGTGAAGGAGAAGTAAAAGAAAGAGTAGTTAGCATTACAAGTTCTAGACAGGGAGCCAGAAAAAGATTGGAACAAGAAAAATTTCAAATGTCCGTATCAGAGTCCATTGGAATTTCTAGACGAGAGCTTCCAAAAGCATCCCTCTGTTGGGTTCCTCCTCTTTTTTCTTTTGTTTGCCAAGGCTGGACTTGAAAATCATGCCCTCAGGATTTGTTTTCAGACACTTTCATAGCTGGTAGAGTGGCTAGAATCAGTGTCAGTTCCCTCACAAAGGCTTCTAGATGGGGGAGAAAACAAATTTAGCTATCAATTTAGAACAACAGTGGGTTGTCTTTCTTAGCTACAGGTGGGCACTACAGGTTTGTAGCCCAATATTTGAAGTCTTACATCTGACCAGCACTTTCTGATTAGAAACAAAATCATCAATGAGAAATAATTGTCTAAATAACATTTTATATGGATTTAAGCCTAATGTCTGGGAAGTATAATCCTTTGAGAACTTAAAGAAATATGCTGATTGCTTTAATCTTCGGTTATATTTTCTTTTTGGGTGTTTAAGACCATACAGTTGTCCCAAATAAACCAATGTATTTTTACTCTTAACGTTGTTTGAGGATTTGTTCCTCTTTTTGGCATCCAACTGACTATAAATTGGCACACAATAGGAAATCAGTAAATGTTTATTTAAAAATCCTACAGCATATAAGCCCTGGACTTTTTTATTGGCATATTATCTATACGGATAGTAGGCTTCGTATGATATCTACATATATGAGTATATACTGTTTTAATAGGAAAAACAAGCATATTCTATTCTTTAACCCTAGTTTATGAACTTTAAAATCAGATCAGAAGAGTATATGAGCATTCTTTTCTCTTGTGAAATAATCTAACACATAAGATAATTGATACGTAATTGAACCACGGTGTACATGACACATATATACAATTTTATCTATAAATTTAAACATAAAATAAGAAGATACATAAAGTCATTATTCATCTAAGAAAAATAAAAAAGACCCAAAGTGGTGTGCATTTGGATATATTCCATTTTAAAACTTGCTTTACAGATTGGAGATACTTTTTAATCTTTTTAATTTGTTATGAATTTGGTCTGTTAACAGAATAATTAAGACAATATTTTCTCTGAACGTCTGAATGATATTAAAACAAAAGTACTTCCCAAATACTTTAAAATTTTGCTTTTGTTTATTTTGTTTCATTTTCATGACCTATGTTCATTCTTTCTCTGTCTAGCTCTTTCTGAAAAATGTAAAATGAATCAAAAGAAATTTTCTTATCAGCACCCATTTTGAATTAATAGATTTATGGTCTTATTTTGTAGATATCAAAAAAATGCTAGTTTGTGCCAAGCCACCTTGCAAAAACCTCTTTTAATTAGGACTTCAGATTAATGTGTGCACTTTTTCTTTCATGATAATTAGATTGGACTAAGGAGACCCAGCTAACTCACTTTATGGAATCCAGTTTCAACTCAGAATTATATCTTTAAAATACTGATGTTAAAAAGCTTGTGAATTAAATTCAGGTCAACTTTTTCATAAGACTCTTTAGTAACATGTTTTATATCCTGTATAATCAGAGATTTTGCAAACAAGTGTTTCAGTAGCCTGTTACTAAAGAGGGAGGAATTGAACTCTACCCTGAAAGAATTATTTGTCAAAGTCAATTACAACAATAAGAAGAGATTATAATTATAATTATCAATGCTATATGAAAATTATAAATATACATGTGTGCATGCATATTCATGTACCATGTGAATGAAAATTGACATCTTTAGGTCAATAACTTTCTATGCAATAATTCTATTTTATTAAAATCTGAACGATTAATGTCCATAAGAATAGTCAACATGCCCTGGTTTTCTATAAGCATTTGATTTTCCAAAAGTTCTCAAATGCTGTTTGTCAATCGGGTCAATATAAATAAAGCAGTTCATAATAGTGTTTGTTCACATAAGTGCATTTTCAGTAATTAGATCCCTGTACAATATCGAAATACATACAATGTTCTTTGTAGGTGCCATCTATGCTTCACGTGTTCATGAGAGGGTTGAAAAGTAGAAGAGATTCATGGTGCCTACTGAAATCTCCCTATTTAGACTAGCTTATATCCTTAAAAAGACCATGATGGAGTAAGAGACTCAAAGCCAATGGTGGGATTCTAGCACTGTGTAGGCCTTTTGCTGTTAGGTCTTCTGAAAATGTCATGTAGAATTCCGGTGCTCTCTCTAGTTGTGTAGAGAAATCCATCAGCTATATCAGGAGTCACTCTCCAGGTGATTCAAATGCTACCCTGACAGATCCTCAGTCGAGGAGATGTGTTTTGAACACAGAGGGATTCTGAAAGCTAATACCTCTTTGGGGGGAATATAGAACCATTTAAAAATGAACACATAAGAAATACGTACATTTCTTGATGCTGAATGCCAGTTTTCTCCCACTAAGGCAGCAACAATTTTTTCTTAGCTAATACAAGATTACAAATTATTCCAGGAAAAATAATTGAAAACTTGCTGATGCACTGGACAACAACTTCTGAACATGTAAATGGCCAATTTCTCTAGTCACACTCAAAGCTGCTATACGGCATGACAAAACAGCAAAATTCTGGAAACTTGGAATGTTCAGCAAAATGCAGAATGTGTCTTCACATTGACTGTGTGGGAAAGAGAAGAACTAAGTGTTTCACCTAATCTGCTGTGAAGAATCATTAGAGACTTTAATATGTAGCTCAAAAAAACTTTGAAATTATGAAAAAAAGTAATTTCTATCGCATCCTTTTATGTCATTTCATTTTAGTGTAGTTTAAAAACATCACGTTTTTGATATGCTGTTTCCATATTTGTTCATGGTGGTTGGGAAGCAAACCTAAGGCCTTGTTCATGTTAGGAGAGTGTTCTACCCTGGAACCACATCTGAACTCTTTTTCTTGCCTTTTCCATTAGAATATAAGCTTTCTGAAAGTAGGGACTTTTATCCTTCCTTCTGAACAGTAACAAACCCACAGACATGCAAGGGACACACAAGGCACCAAATGAACATCTGTGTATTCATCTATGAGTAAAGAGAAATACATAAATTTCCTAAAGCTAATTTTTCATTTGACTCTTACAGAACTGATATTGTGCTGTTTTACAGTTGGTCAGGAACTGAGCTGTGTGTTTCTACCCATGACGATCAACTTTGAGGGGACTATGGTGAGAAGTAACAGAACTGTGTCAGTGACAGAGTTTCTCTTCTCTGGATTTCCCCAGTTTGAAGATGGCAGCCTCCTCCTCTTCATCCCTTTGTTCATCATTTATATATTCATTGTTACTGGGAATCTCATTGTGTTTTTCGCAGTCAGGATGGACACTCATCTTCACAACCCCATGTATAATTTCATCAGCATTTTCTCATTTCTGGAAATCTGGTATACCACTGCAACGATTCCCAAAATGCTCTCCAACCTCATCAGTGAGAAAAAGACCATTTCTATGATTGGGTGCCTGCTGCAAATGTACTTTTTCCATTCGCTGGGAAATTCAGAGGGCATTTTGCTGACCACCATGGCCATTGATAGGTACATTGCTATCTGTAATCCTCTCCGCTACCCAATCATCATGACCCCGAGGCTCTGTGCTCAGCTGTCTGCAGGCTCCTGCGTCTTTGGTTTTCTTGTACTACTCCCAGAGATTGCATGGATTTCCACACTGCCTTTCTGTGGCCCCAACCAAATCCATCAGCTCTTCTGTGACTTTGAACCTGTGTTGAGCTTGGCCTGTACAGACACATCCATGATTCTGGTTGAGGACGTGATCCATGCTGTGGCCATCATCTTTTCTGTCTTGGTTATTGGCATAAGTTACATCAGAATCATCATTGTGATCTTGAGAATTCCATCTGGGGAAGGACGTCGGAAGGCTTTCTCTACCTGTGCTGCCCATCTTGGTGTCTTTCTAATGTTTTACAGCAGCGTGTCCCTCATGTACCTGCGTTTTTCAGCTCCTTTCCCACCAGTCTTGGACACAACCATTGCACTGATGTTTGCAGTTCTTGCTCCCTTTTTCAACCCAATCATCTATAGTCTGAGAAATAAGGACATGAAGATTGCAATTAAAAAACTTCTCTATTCTCAGAAGATGCTTAATACATCTGCAAGTTAATTCCAGTTTACAAATGCCTCTCACTGTGGATGTTTTTCTAACATAATAAGTTATAAATAACTCACTCATTGTAACACTGATATTTTTCATCTCGAGTATACTTCTACCCATATCGACTCTATTTATGCATGTTTAATTAAGATAGCAAGATTCTGTCTAATCTACAATGAAGGACAAAATATAGAAAGAAAATATGATAAGGTATCAAAACATACTTTATGAATTCTACTTTTTTGTAAAATTGTTATATATTATGTACTATATATGCAGAGTATAAAACAATGTACTTACCAAAGTGATAGTCATAGAAAATATTAAAGTTGAACACATAAATGATAACAGCTACTAAATTTCTGACCTTAAAGGAGTCAACAACTAACTTCTCTGTGTCCTAGTTTCATTATCTGTCACTTTTAAAGCAATATATTTCAAAATTAGGACTTTGTATGTTAATATGAGCATTAAATGAATTACTCTAGCCGAGGTTTTGATTATTATATAACACAGAGAAAGTAAAAAGTATGTTAATTATTATTTGTCAGTGATTATTAGCATTTACTATTGTTTTAAATAATACTGTAATAGCAATATATTAAACATACTTAGGAATACACTTAGATATAATTATTAATAAATTTTTGTTCCTGTACTTTCTTGAAAACTTTTTTAATTTTAGCTATTGTGGTTGCATTCATTAACTTATTTGGTTCAATATAGTGTCAAACGTATTCAAAAGAAATAGAAAGATGATGGATGCTTTTGTTAATTATATTACTTTTGCTTTCATTTTTGTGTGCTCTGAAATATAATTAGTGCACTGCTGCCAGAAAACAAACAAACAAACGAACAAAAAACTGACTTCCTAAAACTCATATGCAGATTTCTGTGTTAAGGGGATATTTTAAATCTGCATATCTCAGGTGACAGGATACTTAACACTGTCTGTGCCTGAGTTTTCTCACCCCTAATAGAATTGATGGTCTTAGAACACAGAGCATTATGAACATTAGGTGAGAAGTGTGACTGTGTGCTGGAACAGCATCCACTCTAGTGAGTTAGTCAAGTATGTGCTCTTGTGTTAACACTACTGTATATTTACTGTACTCAGAACCTCATGAACTCATATGGATTTTTTCTCTACCTGCAAATTGGGGATTAAAGGCAAAGAGAAGCTAAATAATTTGATAAGCCATATGATTTTAAAAAGTTGAGAGTATTTAAAGGCAAATATTTTTATTTCTGATGTATAAATATTTAACCAGTACTATATACTGCCTTTGTGTAAGGAAAGAAACCAGAAGATGGAGAGGTGCTTTGTATAAGTCATGGGAAGTAATGCATACAGGAGGGTATTGTGGTTTTAGAAAACAACATAAGCAATGGAATTCTGGGTAGAGAGGGGTGAGTGCTAGAAGGCAAAGTGTAGTTAAAGGTCAGGCATGTTGGCCCAGAGGTTATGAAAAGGTGACTTCTTGGAGAAAAACATTTAAATATGTATATGCATTTATAGCTGAAATCTTGCAAGCTGAAATCTTTGTAAATCTTGAATGAAGTTAAAAGCAGCATATAATGCAATGAGAGGTTAGATTAGATGCTAGAAACCTGCGGGGGGTGGGGAATGTTCTTAAATAATTTAAGAGAACATAAGTGAATGTGAGAAAGAAGAGTCAGAATAAGGACAGGAATTCAAGTGAAAATAGATGAAACAAGCCAAATCAAGTCAAATCTGGCTAGAAAGACATTTGGAAGCTGAGGAAGGATGATCTCGATCTCTAGTTTGAGGCCAGTCTGGCCTACAAAATGAGTTATAAGGTAGCCTCGGCTAAATAGGGAGACTCTTAAAAGAAAATGAAAAAAGAAACCACCCCAAATTAGCAACAAGTCATGTGACAACCCTTTATTATTTTGTTAAATTCCATTTCTCAAAAGAACAACTGAGATTTCTGAGAAATTAGATGTTTTCTAAGAGACATGTAGGCAATAATAAACTGGGTCAGGATTTTAATGTAAATCAGAATTAAGATTTTTAAACTTTTTTTTATGTGTGTAAGAAAGAAAGAGAGATGGAGAGAGATGGAGGGAGAGGGAGACTTCTTGTGTGTGCCACGATGCACATGTGCCGTGCATCAGATAACAATGAGCTTGTCAAGCACGGAAAGCAGGTTACAGGCAAGCCCTTGACCCTGGTAACCCAGAATCTCCCTGGTCAGTAGATTTGTTTGAATTATTATACCCAAGGAAGACGTGTATGACTGTAATTTGTGTTTCTGATTATAAAATATTAATGTATAGCTGAATATTCGCACCATGAGTAACTTCTTAATACAGCTACTTAGGAAATAATCTAAAATAATTTAAAATCATTCTTCTGCCATTAAAACATTTTAGTGCCTCTAATTCTGCAGTTATGTTTTTTGAGGAATGAGGAAGAAGGAAAATCAAATAAAATCAACATGTACAATTGCACGAGTTAAGAAAAATGTATAAACATTTCAAGTTGTTCCTTGGGATTTTTTCAAGCCATTTTGCTTACATTTTATTTATTCTCTTCGCCTCCTCTCATGAGCTAAGTGTGCTTACTCCTTCGGCAAATGGCTCCACTGCAGTCTGAGGAATGGAAGCCTGTCAGCAGTGACTCAGTTTCTCTTCTCTGTGTTCCCCTGACTCGAGGAGGGTAGCCTCCTGTACTTCTCTCCTCCGCTTTTCACGGGTGCGATCATTGTCATTGGGAATCAATTTATTGATCTTCTTTTGCTGTAAGGCTGGACAACCATCTGCACATTCCTATGCATGATTTTATCAGTATCTTTTCCTTTTGGAGATCTGGTATACCACAGCAAACATCCCCGCAATGCTTGCCAACCTCATCATTTGGCTAGAAAAGAAGAAAGTAAGGAAGTTCATCCCCGTCACTGGATGCCTCTTGCAGATGTATTTCTTTCATTCAAAGGGAGAGTCAGAGGGATTTTGCTGATCACCACGGCTTCTGGTAGATATGCCGCCAACTGCAACCTTCGCTATCCGATGATCATGACTCCCAGGCTCTGTGCTCAGTGCTCCCCGGGCTCTTGCATCTTTGGCTTCCTGAGATTGGGGTGATTTTTCCATTAGACACATTGATCAATGGAACAGAACTAAAAGCAATATATAAACCTACACTCCTATAGCCACCTGATTTTTGATGGAGAAGCCAAAATATACACATTGGAGAAAAGACAGCATCTTCAACAGATGGCACTGGTCAAACTGGATAGCTGCATATATAAGAATGAAACTAGATCCTAGGTCATGATAATAGATTGTAAGAGCCACGGTTTGTGCATGATCACAAGGAAACATTCTTACAGGCCTCTGGGAACTTGATCACGTGAACTTAGAGCAATAGTGACAATATCCATAAGACCCAGGCAAGCTCGATCAAACAAAAACCAGCATAGAACTGGGAAATGGGCAGTAGGCCCAAATCTTAGCTGAGGAACTATTGGTAACTGACTGTTTCTGGGTGAGGGATAGTTGAGTTAAGGGAGTGCCTCTATACAGACTGAACAGGCTTCAGTCCTTGCATCAAGGGACATCTGGGTATGCAAACTTTACTTGATAGACCTTAACATATATGACAGAATGCATGTAATCCAGTGAGGGGCTATGATGGGTACAGATAGGAGAGGAGGTCTAAATATGATTAAGATTTATTGTATGAAGTGCACAAAAATTCAAGAAAATTATGCATTGGAGAAAAAAGGAAGATATAGAGGTACCTGTATATACAGAATTAAGCTGTGGTAAGGCACTTGTCTGGTACGTACCAGGGCCTGGGTTCAATTTCTAAAGCCAAAATATGTAAAAGAAGAAAAATCTCATATCCAACACACAAAAATAAATGTAATAAAATAAGTGAAAGCCCTACTCAGAAAAAAGCACAAAAGTTTGATAATGAAAATTGAAGAAGAAATGCACACAAAATGGGAAAAAAATCTCGTTTATAGTGCAAGCATTATTATCATTAAAATGTTCATAGTAGGTGGATTGTTCCTCCCTGCCAGCTAGCTTTCATGGTGCCAGAAGGTTCTATACGTGCTGCTGGGGTGGAGGATGGTATCAGTGGGCTTACCCAGCTGTGACCCTACTAGAACTACCAGAGAAGATGTGCCCACTGATGCAATAATGGCATGTCTATTATGAGAGTAACCAACCACGGTCTCATTAAATGTGAGGCCTGTTCCACAGGACTGAACTGGAGTCTGGTACTGCAAACCCAGTTCAAGATCCTTGGCTGGGGAAGTTTTAGTCCTTTCAAACAAACTTATTACTCTTCTTTATCCAAACTGTCATGGCACCAAGCTGCCCTATTACTATTTATGTTTATACTCATAGACAAATGCCACTCTCAGCCTTAATCAGAGAAGTTTATTTTTACAATGAATATCAGTGAATATAGGGACACGGCTTCTTAAGGTGCTGTGAATAAGTCACAATTGAGTACTTATCCCTAAGCAGTACATCCATACCATATGCTCTAAAGTGAAGGAGAAATGGCAGAAAGAATGCAAAAGCCAGAAGATATGGACCAGGGCTATGAAATACTGTGTTCAGAACATGGCACAGTCAATACAGTCATGACCTCACAGCAGCTACGGTTGCTTACATTGGGACTGCACAAATCTGGCCTATCAACAGTCGATTTTACACTGGGGAGGGCCTCATGGGGCCCTACAACTCTCTCCTGAACTACTGGCTTTAAATGGATTATAAGGGAGAGGCAGTCATTTTCTTCATCTGTATACCCACTGAAGAGCCAGCCAGGCTCCAGTGGATTGTTCTAAATCCACAGTCACACAGAAGATCCTGGCTTAAATTCAATGTGTCTCAAAGCCAGCAATAATATAAAGACAAGAATATGAGAAAAGAATATGGGGCAGAGGAGAGAGCAGGAAAGGGGTGAGAGAAGACTAGAGAGTGAAAAGTTACAGTAATCAGAATGCATTTTATACATGTATGAA